TTATCTGCAAGAGCTCTCTCTTTCTGCTGCTTAGGTTTTGCTTGCAGCATTCAAGTCCTTACCTCTGTATCAGATCCTGTCACCAGCAGTAATTGATTAAAATTGACTGTACTTTAATGTGTTTGTTCACTGTGGGGACATGAGCCTGAAGCCAATTTATTGTATTATATTAGCTAATTGCTTGCTGGACTTATTTCATGTACTCTTTACAATCTCCTCTGGATTATAAAAGTGCTTATTTATGGTTGGATAAGCAACACAGCAATTATTTTACCAGGCGACGCATGTGTGTTTGGCCAATAGTGTCTGTAATTTAAGCAAACTAAAGAAGAAATCGAAGTTTATTCATCACGGTGATTTGACAGTGATACAACAGCCTGTAATATCCTGTTGATGAGCGTATGGGGTGACCACGCTCTTATCTTCAGTGGATAGTGTGTGTTTTTCAGTGCAGTTCAATCTGTCCGTCACTCTGGTGTTACTGGGCAAACATATGGCAGAAAATCGTTTCCGGAAGTCGCATGTTACTGACCATATGGGTCAAGTATTGTCCTTTTATTGAAAGTGATTCGATAAGGAGTGAATATATGAAAAGCAACAGCACAGTAGGACATAAAATATTTACTTAAGATCAATACTGTCATGAGCAATAACTCCCACTGCCAATCCAATCTCCTTTTTTTTTTTTTTTTGAATCAGAGACCCAAAATGTACAGTACAAAACATCATCCAGATTTTTTTCAAAGTGAAACATCAAAGCAAAGCAGTGCTAACTTGGGTCATTGAATGTAATTAGACAAAAGCAGTGTGGCATTTGATGATTTCAAACATCACTAATCAAGGATTTACCTGCTGGAGACACAGACCCTGCTGAGTATTCCCAGAGCTGTGAGGGCCAACAGGTTACTTCTAATTAGTCTCACTGAGACCAGTCTTGAGACAGATTGAACTAATAAAAGAGCCACAATCTCAGTGCTGAGGCATGTTGTGTGTTTAAAGTGTGCAGACCTGAAATGTGTGACGATGAATCAACAACAGACTACCCAATCAGCAGGAAGAAAGCATCTGTAGCAAATGATTTAAAAGTTATCGTTGTAGGAAGCACACTTTTTTTTTTTTACTTGCTGGCTCAGAGTTTGGTGCTGTAGCTGTTAGCTTACAGCGTGAAGAGTGGAAACAGCTTGCCTTGCTCTGTGCAAATGTCACATGTAATCTAGAGGCAATATTTGCACCCCCTGTTTCTACTTTGTATGCGAAGCCGGGCTAACTGTCTTCTGGCTCCAACACATATTTGCTGTACAGACATGAGAATGCCATCAAAATTCCCATCTTGCTCTTGTGTTGTTCTCAAAATGCTGGACTGCTCCTTTAGTAATGCCTCTCTTCCAAGCGTCCCTGCCAGTGAATCAGCAGGCTCACACTGCCATGTGTTCTCCCCATTATGACTTGCCAAAATGTTATTTTAAAAAAATGCTTCATTTTACAACGACTGCTCATCGTCAGGTCAGGTTCTTCAGCTGGTGAAATTCAAAAGGACAGTTGTTCTACATCATCAAGTATCCCCAGCAACAAACATCTGACTTTCTTCGTTGTTATTCTTCTCAGGTGAGACACTTCTCTGTCTGAGATGGTTCCACTAAAAGTGCTTCAACGTAGCGGAGCTCCTCTGTCATTGTTTAATAAAGTGCCTTTAATAGCCCAGTGCTCTGTGTCAGCTTGAAGGAGATCCACCGAGGCCCCTGAGGAAGCTGTAACCAGGCAACTACAGCGGGCCATGGTCTTTTCTTCTGTCAAAGGAAATGGAAGGTCAGACACAGAGGAGAGGTCCTAAATTGTCAGGCCAAGGTCAGAGATGAAAGAATTTCCTGTATAGTTATCGTAAAAAAATGTCACCTGCCATCCATCCATTTATCTGGTTAGCATCAATCAGGACGCTGATATTCCAGGCTGTCAAGTCTGTTTGCATTATGCAGAATTCAGTGACTTATGTGTTTATCTGTGCGTTAATAATACTACAGAAGACACACTGGTAACTGAAGCACAGAAATATCTTCCACTTGATGGATTTTTATTGATTTATTTCATAACCACAGACATGCTAAAGGGGGTTTTCCCTGAAATCATATTGCACGACAGCATTGTGTGCATGAGATTCATGATGTTATGACACCCAAACTAATAAATGGATAAAAGCAGGAACTGTAACCTGAAATAAACCCTCCCTCGCTGATGTGATGAACGAGGAAGCACCTGATACAAAGCGGAACCATTAGGGCAATTGAATGGAAAGATAAGAAAACAAGGAAATATTGACAGAGCTGATCTATGTGTTTGACCTGTAAATGAGCTACCTTTCTGTTTCAGTGCGTCCTGCAGTTGTTAGTACGCGTTATGCCATGATTAGGATTCAACATGCTGCAGCAGTCACACTGAATCTGACCTTTTCATCTGTCGGTTAAAAAAATCAAACACACATACTGCAGTTGACTTTGTCTGACTTCACTGTAGACAAGAATTGTATCCTTTTGTAGCACATCTACATTATAATAACACTTTGCAAATCCCTGAGTTCTGCACGGACACGTCAAATTTAGAATATATCCTCTTACTATTAATATTGGAAACCCAAATGAATTATGCTCTATTCTTACAGTGCAGGCGAATTATGGCTGAAGAGAATTTAAATTGCTCAAAACAACAGCTTGAGCAAATCTCTGGCCAACAAGTTCATGTTGTTCCTGTGATCTGGAGAGATTGCTTATATGAGAATGTCTCTAAATTAAAATGCAGAGAGCCAAGATGCTAATCTTGCTGGAACTGCTCCACTGACAAGGAGAGTGTGGCCCTGTGGGCTCATTAAGTGTTTGTCTCCAGCTGAGCTTCGTTTCATAGCACAGCAATGTGCCAACAGCCTGGTTACAATGGTTCACAATGTAAATTTAAGTTCCACTCATTGTCAAGTGCCACTGCAGTACGTCAGCACCTCCGGCATCTTGGGTCCTTCAGTCCAGACAAAAAGAACACTACTATTTCACTCGCTGCTGTTGGAAAAAGGAAAGACCGGTGAGAGCAGTGAAGTATTGGGGGTAGAGAAGAGGTTTGGCAGTCTGCAAAGGTCGACTCAGGAAATGGCAGCAGAGGCACACAGTCAATTATGCTGACAAGAACCTATGAGAGCTCTCTTAAGAGCTAAACTGCCTCGCAGGTGAACAGGTTTTGCTTTTTGTAAGGTGTGAAAACATCATACGCTTGACCTCCTGACATCCCATCCAAAACTACAAGGCAGCTCACAGCAAAAATCTTTTCCTGTTAGCTGATCTTTGAGACAAAAAGAATTATTATGCTATGTTATTATGCAGTCTCCCGGTGTGAATATTTCACACTGACTCCCATTGATCTCTCATACAGTTTCTTCTCCCCACATGCTGTTTAACATTTTTTGCACCAAACATAGTACTGATTTATTCAACACTACATGCACATCTAAATCTTGTTGTGATCTCAGACTTCCCTTTAAATAATGCACACACACGCAGCGCACTGAATTTGACCTCAGAAGCAAACAAAGACTTTGAAATATTTAATATTTAGAAGTAAGTTTTCTTATATACACTGTGTCATACAACAATATGTCAAAGGAGTGCTGACCGGCCCTTTGTTAAACACATCGACACCATTATCTCTGAGAAATTGGGATCCCACACTCATACTGTTTCCTAAGTTAAAAAGGATTTTAAAGTACTTTTTTGACTTTCATGGGAGACTTAGGATCAATTCATTTTCTCTTCAGAATAAGAAGGACATGAAATATTACTTTTTCAATAAAAAAGATCAACACAGGGCAAAAAAAACAAACAAAAAAAACAAAACAAGAGAAGTCAATAAAATATTACAACACAGACATAATAATTTAAGACAAAGTAAATGTTTTAATGCAATTGAATACCACAGAGTGACTAACAGCAGGTTTACTAGGAGATACTGGCTATGCTACAAAGTGCTCTTTATTGCCAACCACACCAGAAGCCATAACTGTGTCAAGTGTTATATACAGCAGAAAAAACCTGCTCTCACAAAGTCATTTACTGCCACTTTTATTTCGATTTATTGCAGGTGATATATGGTTGTTGTATGGCGCGTTTTATGAGAAACGCCGCCCGAACACACACACACACACACACACACACACACATATATATATATACATATATATACTGGAGTGCAGACCTTGGCTGACAGCATGAAGTGTATACAGCTCCTGCCAAGGTTCTCCTTTAAAGATCATTACACCGACGATGGTGATTTTAGGTAATGAGAAATGCATTACGACGATGATCGGCTGAATGGACGCCTAGAGCCACATTTAATGCACTAACGTTCTCTCCTTCGGTTGTATAACAAGCTGCTCTGCTGATAATCATTAACACATCACAGTTCACAATCCCTCAATATGTTCGTCAATACTATAAACATAGAACAGCTCTTTAAAAAAAAAAAAAAGAAACATTTACAGCCCCCTTTGTCCTTTCTGCACTCTTTGCAGGTCCACCACGTTTCCAGCAGGTAAAGTGTGTAAAGCACTCCTGCACAGATTCCGGCACTTCAGAGAGCAAACAAGATGCATGTGTACCAGATTAAAGGCTGTCTTTTCATTTGTAGGTGTCCACAGCACATTGGGAATGGACTATACAGACAACAGTTGCAAATGTGCTCATGTAGAGTGTCTCTTGTTGCCCTGCAGTGCTTATACTTGTCCAACCTTTGCACCATCATTTTGTTATCTACTTCCTCTTACATGTGAGCTCATACTGAATCGAGGGCACTGCTGGTTAAGTGTCTTCAGCCCCGCTCCCTCTGGGCTGCTATTGTGAGGTTTATAACTTTGCAAATGTCAGCCTTACTTTTGCACGCAGCAAAGCAACAAAAGCTCCAAAGGATGGCACAATGAGGGCTGCGGAGCCCCCACCAGTGTCTTTGTCTTTCCCTGAAAGGGCTTGGATTTAAGTATTGATGCTGATAGATCCATTACTCAGGACCGACCCCTTGGTAACCTCTGTGCTGACAGTAGAGAGCGGGACACTCTCGTACCTCTCTGCCACCCCCCAGCAGCGACAGCGCAACAGCGTGGACTTGAGCTGCTTCTGGAAGTTGTTGTTCAGGAAACCGTAGATGATGGGGTTGACACAGGTGGAGATCATGGCCGTGAGGTGACAGAATGAGAAGATGATGTCGTGGCCGCAGGACGGGATGGCCTCGTGGTACCAGTCGAACACTGTGTTGAAGATGTTGAGAGGGAGCCAGGACAGGGCGAACGCCACCACTATGGACATCAGCATGGCGTTGATCCTCAAAGAGCCCTTGTTCTTCTTTTGGGTGGTGTTCTTGCCGCGCTCCACCATGTCCTTCCTCCTCCTGAGGCGCAGGAATAGGTGCAGGTAGCAGCCCATGATGAGGACCAGAGGAAGGAAGTACTGGAAGATGAGCAGGGAGGTGAAGTAAGCTCGCCGCTCTTGAACTGACGGCCACGACTCCATGCAAACATAGTGGTCACTGACAGGGAAGGGCAGGCTCAGGTTCTGGAAAGGCAAGGTGAGTACGCTGTATGAGAGGAAAGGCACCGAGATGAGGCAGGCCACGATCCAGGTGATGGCCACTGCCAGGTAGGATTGGCTCACCATGGGCTTCCATCCGGTCGGGTGGACAATGAGCTGGTAGCGCTCCATGGCAATGAGGACGAGGGAGAAGATGGAGACGGTGACTGATATGCACTGGATGAAGGGCGTGAGCTTACAGAGGGTTTCCCCGAGGATCCAGTGGTCCATCAGCGTGTAGATAATAGTGACCGGCAGGCATATGATGCACATAAGAATGTCTGAACAAGACAGGTTGGCAATGAAGATGTTGGTGACGTTGTGCATCTCCTTGTGCCGCGTGATGACAAACACGAGGCAGGAGTTCCCAATGAGACCCACTGCCATCACTGTGCTGTAAGCAATGATGAGGAGAGTGGTACCGCTCACCGAGAGCGAGCAGTCAGTGAAGTCCCATGGTATCTCTCTCCACAGGGCTTGGTTGTGATTGGTGCTGTGCTGCAGCTCCATGGTGGCTTTCCTGCGCTCACTTCAAAGCCAAATAACTAATTGAACTAATTTATTTTGACACACCTGCTGTAATTACTTCATGAATAATATTTGCATTTTTTAGTTTTTCCCAATCCTTAGTCTCTGGCAGGCTTTTCAGCAATCTTCATTTGTAGCCTAAAAAAAAAAAAAAAAGCAGAAAAAATTAGTAACCTTAGGAAACTGTACTTTTAAGTTTGAGTGTTTTTTTTTTCATATTAAAGGATTTATTTATCACTCCAATTGAAATTTAGCTCCCATTGAAATAGTAACATGAAAAAGGAAATTGACCATCACTTGCAGAAAAAAGTCGTTTGATCATTAGACTCCTTTAAAACAAGGATTCTCTTGCTGCAGGATAGGATTTTAAAATTCGCAGCACTTCTGGATGTAATTCCACAAGTGTCTTTTGGTGCCATGATGTGTTTAGTTGTGCAACTTCAACGTGATATTCTCTGGCAGTGGACTCAATATTACACAAACAGAAATATATGAAGGGAATAACTAATGTCGGTTGCAGGAATGATATTGAGAATCTGCGAGCAGAACGCACATTTTCTGTCTCCTCGAGTGCACGGCCATAAGAATAAATGATGCACTTGATGGAATATCATCAAGAAAACAGCACAGATCCAGATTTTGTGGCATCGCTATAACGGCGTGCTGATTTAAATTTCCATCACAATAACGGTGATAATGACATGCTCCTTCAGAGACAAATAATTGTTCCCTTGCACTGTTTTTCTTCCCTTTTTGACAGCGGGAATTTATTCTGTCACTGTCCATAAAGGAGCTGACACCTTCCACTGTCACTGAACATTCACAGGAGCTTCCCGGCTCCTCGAGGACACGTTACACTCTCCAACAAATTAATGTACTGGAAAGCACAACAAAAACTCAATTCCATTACACCAGGAGCAGCCGAATTGTGCGAGCGTGGACGTGTCCATATTTATGAGTGTGTACATGCAGCAGGGAAAACAGTGCTGATTAACTGAGATGTTTTGCCCACGGCTCAATTCCCCAGAAATTAGTTTTGCAACAGAGCTATTGTAACAGAATGACATCTACAGGATTTCAAGGATTTATCATTTTTAATTGAGGACTCCTTAACCATGATAAATGCTGACAGGTGGGACATTAGTTTCTTGTGGCTGTATCTATTATGGGAAGTAATGTCCTGATAGAATGTGCTGTTTCATCTCTGCTGATTACAAGCAACGCCGGAATAACAGAGGCAGATTCTTGTGCCTATAAGTACGATAACACTACTTGAATTCCTTTGTGGTGCACAGTTTTCTCTGTTTGGGTGTCTGGATAAATAATCTCCTCCTGCATGTCAACCTGACTAAACCTGGCTGAATTTCTGAATATGTGGCCCCTGCATATATACCCTCTCCTGCAGCCTTGATGCAGATTATTTATGGCAGAAATTGGACGTTTAAAGTGATGCATTGCTTTGTGTTGTGTCTGCTGGCAACAGAGGAAGAACATTTACCATGGGAATCATTAAAATCTGACATGAAATTTCATCCTTAATGTGCAAATTGTACTGACACATAGGAAAACAGCCCTGCAGAAAAATAAAAATAGGCTGTGAGAGAAGAAACTGTGAAGTCACTGCAGGAAAAAAACACAACATAAGAAATTGTAGCTCATGGGGATTTATTGTCTCAGAGCAGAAATGTTTGGAAATGATAGATTTTTCTGCATTAATAGTAGCTCTGTGCAGTCACCTGATTTAAAAAACAAAACACTTAGCCAGGACACAAAACGCATATTAAAAAAAAAATAAAATAAAAAAAATTACTAGACATTACACACCGGCCAAGAAAACACAAGAAGCGATGAAAAAGTGTGAAAGGGTCTATTGTAGGTTATCCTGCCCTAAGTCTGTGCAGCTGCCCTGGATCCACTGTCTGTCTGTGACCGTGCGTCTGCCTTCACTGACTTTCTGTCGCCCCGGACAGGCAGGTAGAGGAGACTGAGTCTGGGTGAAGCACCATCACTCATGTCCACCTCCAGACCTGCCGCATGTCGCCTAAAAAGCGCTTCTCAGACTACACTCCGAGTTTTATTTATGGAAAACAGAGCCAGTGGCAAAGAAAAATGAAAGTGGAAATCCCATCAAGAGATAGTTTCGCCTGACAGCGCAGGGAATTTAAGGTTATTAAAAACTCTCTGTGCGCACCACAAGAACCAAAAACAAATATTGAGCTGAAATATTAGTCTCTACAGCGTCTATCCCCAACATGTGATGCAAAAACAAATAAATGAACCAACCCCACTTTTTCTTTTCTTTTCTTTTCCAGGTAACCCGCCACCACACCACAACAGAGTTGCACAAAATGCCATCTAGAGTATCTTACCGGGTTTCTTCTGGGACCTGCAGCGGTGTTATTGTTTTGCTTTTTTTTTTTTGCATCAGGTGAGTCACAGCAGAGTTTTTGGCGGAGGAGAAGGTAGGAGGTGTCCCGCCGGGATCACTGATCGCAGCGGAGATATCTCTTAAAGCGACCTTATGCCTCAGACTCAGGCGGGGATGTGACTAGGAACATCTTACATAATAACTTCTCCGTGGCTCGCACCAACGCGCGTACACGCGGCCCGTCGGCGCGCGCCCACACAGGGAGCAGCAGAGGGGAGAATTTAGTTATTCGAAATTTGTACATATGGTCTGTTTCACCCACCTGAAGCCCAGAAATATATCAGAGAGCGACATGATTTATTTAGTGTCTTGTAAAGAGACATGCTGAATCTGAACATAATAAGGCAACTTTCATAAATCCCAAATGAGAAATCTGTAATATCACACTAATATAATATTCAATTATGATGTTATTGCAGTGCAGGGGCTTCCGTGTTTCTAAACCATATGGAGCTTGCTGTATAATGTCTGTGCACAGCATGCTATAAAATATATGAGGCTATATTGTATTCTTCTTTCCAGATTATAAAGCGGGTGCACTGCAGCAGACAATGCTGGACAGATTTCATTCATTGTCATGCTGCAGAATGGATTTGATGCAAACATCCGAAGCACCTAGACTTCTGCACATAATTGTATGTTTTATGAGGGTCTTCTGGCCTGAAACCCTCTGATGTGTAAATCCTAAAAAAAAATCCCAGATGCTGCAAATATTGAAGGATAAATATTACTGGATACTGATGGTGTGTCTAATGGTATGTCCTGTATCAGAGCAAGACCATTAAACTGACTGCCCTATCAGTTATAAAAATCATCAACCTTGTGGTTGTATCTGTAATGTTGCACACCTACAGCACTCCATACACCAAAGCTGATCACTCAACTCCAGCGTTCTGCGCATCTGCAGCACACATCTTTGCATAATTCCCCACATCCATACCATCATCACCATTAAAATCTCTTTTCAGATCCCTCCACAGCTAACACCTACAACTATTTTAAACCCGATTTTTGCACCTCCCTTGCTTGTGCAACAGATTGTTAACTGCTTCTTCACACTGTCCCCACACACTCCTGTTTCAAGTAGAGGCTGTTTGAGAGAACAGTAATAGCTGTTTGTCTGAGAGGCAGAGCAGTGAAATGACTTGCCACCAACAACAACAGCTCTGTGGGTGTTTACTTGACACAGAGGCATGGGTGTCAAGTCACTCAAGACGACAAATCTATACACATATTCTTCTGAGAGAGGCAGGAATGCTTGGAAAGGGCCTGCTTGACGGGGTTATTTTTTGTCCCTAATGAGTAATCGGTCAGCGTATTAAGACATGGAATGACTGCTGAACCTCCTCTCCATGTGTGCAATCAATACTGTCACTCACATTTGGATTTTTCGTTGAACTGGCATTGCTTTGATTGATGGACAGAAGAAAACATTTCTTTCGGCAAAGTCTAGACAGCTGAGCACAATTGTGACAAGAAATAGTTGTTTTTGACAGTGTGTCCACCAGTTTAATATGATTGATAAATGACAGCTTGAGTCAATAAACGGACGTGTGGCCCGTGAAGCTTGTGCAGCCTGAAAATGAATAATGCCTTTTTATGGACACAGGAACATTGTGTCTACAACTAAAATTTCTGTCACAGTGCACATAAACAAACATAAAGCAGAGGATTTCTGCTCCACATTACATGATAAGATAGAACGAGAACAGATAACATGCTCCAAACATTTGTGAAACATTATCTCGCTGTCACATGAAATATTTGATTGCTCTTTGAATACTTATGTTATTTGGTGCATGCTATCAGCTGTTTACGCTCCCATCCTGAGCCCATTTACACAATTCATAATGTAACCTGGTTCAGATGTGGCCATATTTGGATTCAGAGACAGACTCATGTTACATAAGACGTTCGTATACGAGGTTCTTGTGGGAAAATTGTTAATAATTTTATGTGTGACTGGCAATGTAAATCAATGAAGCACGCCGCCTCATTAACAATGAATTGTTCTCATAGAATGGAGCTCCCCATGTTCATGTTTGACAGTATTTGCTGAGCCGCTGATCCTGTGTATTTGGAAGTGCAAAGCCAGTTCTCGTGTGATTTATTTGTGCTGACAAAAACCCTCACTTTAACAGACTTAATATCCTCCGCTGTGCAGTGAGGCTTCGAAATTGTTTTTAATGCCAGGAAGCCTAAACTAGGAAAGAAATGGTGGCTCTGTGTAACTTTGTTCAGCTGTGTTTGGAAATAAGTATTGGAAGAAAGAATGAAAGGGCGGGGACACACACACACACACGCATGGACACTTTCAAATTAGAAGAAAAATATTCGTATTTTCAAAACTGGCTCAAATAGAAAAAACTTTAGGTCCATCCAGGACACATCGTCAGTGATATAGAAATTCATGAGCAGAAATTACAATATTATGAGCTGATGTGTTTGCCAGGGCTTTGCAGAGAGCTATAATGAAACGTAGAAATTGAAGATAAGTTCTTTTTATATAGCATTAAGACATTGGTTTGAAAGGCGCAGATGAAATTAAGTTATAGATGTTCGTGTAATTTATTCGGTTTAGCACATAGAAAAGGTTCATTAGTGAGTTC